GTGCATGTGCATTTGTGCCCTTGGAGGCCAGAGTCATTGGATTTACAGTTGGTTGTGAGCCATGCAATGTGGGTGCTGGGAACCAAACTCAGGTCCTCTGCTAGAGTATTCTGTACTTTGACTGCTGGGCTCTCTCCATCCCAGATCTCAGCCTTATTAAACTATAGCTCACGACTCCATACAGGAGGCATCTTGAAAATTTTGGCAGGCATAAAGGCTTCTAACCACGTGACCAAAATGAATTAAAGAATCAAATGGCATGTTTCTGAGGTGTCTGGGACAATGCTCATTGTGTTGTATCATGTGACCTTGTTTGGGGTGGCTTTTGCTTCTGACATGGATATGTAGTGTCTCTCTTCAAACACTCACACCACCACAGGTCAGTAAACAAAGCCTGAAACTCCTTAGTTGAGGTTCAAGATCAAGTCATATATCACAGTATTTTTTCCTTTCTTTTTCTTTTTTTTAAATTAGAGACAGGGTTTCTTTATGTGGCTTTATGCATTCATTTATGTATGTGTTCATTTATTTATTTTGAAGCACAGTTTCACTGTGTAGCCTTTGACTGGCCTGGAACTCACAATGTGTACCAGTCTGGCCTCAAGTCATGGAAATCTGCCTTCCTCTGCCTCTAATGTATGAATTAAAGGTGTGTAGTATCATGCCCAGATTAAAATAAATTTCTGGGATACTTATTAACAGGAAATGTTTGATTTGCATACATATTTTATATATTTAGCATTCCTCTTTTTATATAGTTATATAGCTGGGATCCTATAAAAGTGTCCCAGATGGGGGCTGGCGATGGTTCAGTGGTTAAGAGCACTTACTACTCTTCGTAGGATCCAGATTGGATTTCCACACCCACATTCCAGTTCACAGCCATCTGAACTCCTGTTCCAGTTTTTTCTATTCTGGCTTCCCCAGGCACTGCACACATGTGGTACATAGAGAAAACACCCAAAGACATAAAAATAAATGATTAAATTAAAGTTTTAAAAATTCATGGGCAAGTGGTCACCAGTGGGAAATAGTTAAGGAGCCCTGCCCTAGGGCACCTATCCCTTTGCTTCTGACCATAAAGTTTGCTTTTCTGGACATTTCTTATAAATAAAATCATTTAAGTCGGGTATGGTGATGCACGCCTTTAATTGCAGGCAAAGGTAGGCAGATCTCTGTGGGTTCGAGGCCAGCCTGGTCTACACAGTGAGTTCCAGGACACTCACAGCTACAGAGAGACCCTGTCTCCAAAACAAATGCAAAACATCATAGACACATACAAACTGAAATCATATACTATATGGAGTCCTGTGACTGCCTTATTTTATTCTCTGTGATGCTCTCAAGGCTCCTCAGTATTTAGGCATGTAGTACTATTTCATTTACCTTTTTTTTTTTTTAAGATTGATTTCTTTATTATGTCTACAGTGTTCTGTCTGCATGTATTTCTGCACAGCAGAAGAGGGCACCAGATCTCATAGATGGCTGGGAGCCACCATGTGGTTGCTGGGAGTTGAACTCAGGACCTCTGGAAGAGCTACCAGTGCTCTTAACCTCTGAGCCATCTCTTCAGTCCCTTCATTTACTTCCCCCCACCCAAACATATTCTCATTATGTAGCCCTGCCTGCCCTGGAATCATAGGCTGGTCTTGAATTCACAAAGATGTGTCTCCCTCTGCCTCCCAGGTGCTAATAATGAAGGTGTGTGTCAACATGGTTGTCCTTGAGCATTCTTGTGTGAGCTTGTATGTATATACATGGTTTCAGTTTTCTTTGGTGTGTGACTAGTAGTGGATCAGTTTGTTTTTTATTATCATTATCTTAGGCCAGTCTGCATATGAAACTGAAAGCCAGTGTCTAGCAATCTTGGTTTTTCTTGGGCTTTCTTTGTAACTAACGTTACGTGTATATTTTGATGGGAGGAGGTGGGACACACACACACAGCTTTGATCCCAGCATTTGGGAGGCAGCTGTAGCAGATCCCTGAGTTCAAGGCCAGCCTAGTCTGCACACTGAGTTCCAGGACAGCCAGGGCCACACAGAGAAGACCTGTTTGGAAAAACCAAATTCAAAATAAGAAAAAAAAAAAAAAAACAAAAAACAAACCAGCAAATATTTATGGATATTTCAACTTAGAAGCAAATTCATGTCCTTTTTGAGAACAAACCTATCTCCTAGCCTTTCAGTACACTTTTTTTGATGGGGGAGTAGAGGGAGTAGATTCAAGACAGAGTTTTTCTGTGTGGGTTAGCTGTCCCAGAACTCACTGTATACACCAGTCTGGCTTTGAACTAACAGAAATCTGCCTGCCTCTACCTCTGGAGTGCTGGGATTAAAGATGTGGGTCACCAGACTTGGCTGCCTTTTCACCTGTGAGGTTCCAAACGTTTATTTGTTTTGAGGCAGGGTAAGCCATGTTGGCCTCAAACTTGCAGTGATTTGGGGCTGCTTGCTTTTCTTGTAAGAGACCCAGGTTCAGTTCAGCTCCCAGCATCCACATGGTCCCTGTAAATCTGTTTTTTTCTTTGTTTGTTATTGAGACAGGGTTCTCTGTGTAGCCTTGGCTGTCCTGGACTGGCTGGCCTGGAACTCACAGAGATCCACCTTTCTCTGCCTCCCTGAAGTGCTGGGATTAAGAGCACCACCAAGCCTGACTTGCCTGTTACATTAATTCCAGGAATCAGAAGCCCTCTTCTGACCTCCAAGAAAACTAGGCACTCATGTGGTGCATGTATAAACATGCAGGCAAAACACTCACATACGAAGAATGAATAGATCATAAAGAGAGAAAAGCTTGCAAGGATTCTTTTGTGTCTGGGACTGAAGGTGTGTGACACCATCCCCAGTTTTATTCAGGGATGATGATTGAACCTAGAGTTCTTTTTGTGGTTGGAAAGCAGTATAAAAACCATCTCCATCTAGCCCTAAATACAGATTTAACATCATCAATACCTTCACCTTTCATGGATGAGATCTTTCATGGTTAGTTTGTGAAGGGACCGAGCAGCTGTGCTGCCATGACAGGCTTGGTAAGATACTGTAGGCCTGAGTTTCTGTTTCCTGGTAATGTTCCCACAGTTGCTTAGATCCTCCTTATTTCTCAGAACATGAAACTATAGTCCATGAAAACGAGATACAATAACTCAATAACCTCCCTGAAAATCAGAAACAATAATTTAGTAGCCGCCTTGAAAAGTCCATCAGCACTCTTTGTTATCTGTACATGCCCTGCTGCTTGGACACTCCATGCAGTACCCCCTATCCCCTAGATCAGCACCAACCAGTCAGTTTAAGGTGAGTTTGCTTTTGCTAAATGTGAACAATCATGTAACCGCCAACTTGGAAAGCCCTGTTCCTTGCTCAGACCATAATAAAAACCCAGCTTTGCAGCTACTTGGAGCTCCCGCCCTAATCCACTGCGTTGGACAGTGGGTAGTCTAAGCTTAGGCCCGGAATAAAGGTTCTTTGTTCTTGACGGTCTTTGGGGTCTTCACAATCTGGTTATAACAGTTTGCTACTTGTTTTCATTGAACTATGTGGCCTTAATTATGATGATGATTTTGATTTTTTTAATATTATTGTAAGTGCATCATAGTCATTCAGCGTAAGGCACATTCCCTCTATTAGCTAGCCTTCAGGGTATACCTAAATCTCATCTCTCAGTCTTACTTCCTGTATTTGTTTCCTAAGGCTTTGTAGCGAGCTGCCGCCAAGTTGGTAGCTTCAAACAATAATACATGAATTTTTTCATAGCTCTGGAGACCAGAAATTTGAAGTTAAGGTGTCATCCTCTCTCTGAAGGTTTAGGGAAGATCTCTTCCATGCTTTTTTCTTAGCCTTTGGAGTTGCCAAAAATCCTTTGTGTTCTCTAGCTTCTAGACACACACTAAGTAAAAAAATAGATATAGATAGATAAATGTAATTAAAAAATTATTATTTTTATGTACATTGGTCTTTTGACTGCATGTATGTCTATGTGAGGGAGTCGTTTCCCCTGGAACAGAAGTTACAGATAGTTGTGAGCTGCCATGTGGGTTCTAGGAATTGAGACTGGGTCCTCTGGAAAAGCAGCCAATGCTTTTATCTGCTGGGCCATCTCTCGAATCCCAGTAAGTGTAATTTTCAAAAACTTAAAAAAAAATAAAACTGCCTGAATATTCTTTTATTTTTCCACCAAGACAGGGTTTCTCTGTGTAGCCTTGGCTGACCTGGACTCTCTTTGTAGACCAGGCTGGCCTTGAACGCGCAGAGATCCGCTTGCTTCGGCCTCCGAGAGTGCTGGGATCACAGGCGTGCACCACCACACTGGGTTGTCTTGGCTACTTTTAAGTCAACTTGACACAAGCTAGAGTTATCTGCTAGGTGGGAAGCTCAATTGTAAACGTGCCTCTAGAAGATCCAAATGTAGGGCATTTTCCTTTTTCTTTTTTTAAGATTTATTTATTAGTATACAGTGTTTGGTCTGCAGGCCAGAAGAGGGCACCAGATCTCATTATAGATGGTTATGACCCACCTTGTGGTTGCTGGGAATTGAACTAAGGACCTCAGAAGAACAGCCAGCTCTCTTACCCTCTGAGCCATCTCTACAGCCTGGCATTTTCTTAATTAGTGCTTTATCGGGGCGGGCCTAGCCCATTGTGGGCGGTGCCATCCCTGCCTCATGGTCCTAGTTCCAGGAGAAAGACTGAGCAGGTCAGGATCCCTCCATGGCCTCTGCGTCAGCTCCTGCCCTGTTTGAATTCCTGCCCTTACTTCCTTTGATGATAAACTGTGATACAGACGTATAAGCCAAACAAACCCTTTCCTCTCCAAGTTGGTTTGGTCACGGTGTTTTGTCACAGCAGTAGAAACCCTATCTAGGACAGAAAGAGAGCTTCCATGCTTAGTACTGCATAAAGAAGCAGAGGGTCGGGGACCTCAGAGCAGGCAGGCAGCTGTTTAGAAGTGTGGCCCCCTGGGAGAGTACAAGCAGCTTACTCTCTTTTATCCCTTTCTTGCAGCTATAGGAGGAAGATAAAAGGCTTTGGTTCATTAATAATCTAATGATATCAACCATATCAACCATCGGTTGAATTTTCATCAGAAGGGTTCAGAAGAGAATGGAGAAGAAGATTGGCTCCAGGTACGTGATGGAACAGGGAAAAATGACTGCTGAAGTTATGGCTTACCTGCTGGGATCACGGGCATGTGGCACCACACCTGGCTAACACTGGAAATTCAATGTTCAGTGTTTGGCAGAAGTCACAAGAGGGCAGCTGGCAGGTACATGCAGCAGGAGGAGCCAAGCTTGGAGGTCCCGGGTGGAGGGCACTGGGACTCCGGTGCAGCTGTGCTTCAGAGAGCATTTTTGTTTGTTTGTTTGTTTGTTTTACTGGTGCTGTGTGCTTAGCTGCTCAAAACCCATTAGAGCTCGGAGTCAAAAAAAAAAAAAAAAAGCATGAGGTTTCAGTCCAGGCAATGGTGGCACTCAGGAGACAGAGGCAGGCAGATATCTGTGAGTCCAGCCTGGTCTACAGAGTGAGTTTCAGGACAGCCAGGGCCACACAGAGAAACCCTGTTTCCAAAAACCAAAACAAACAAAAAACCAACCAACCAACAAACAAAAAAATACTAGGCCTAATGACCCCACCTCTTGTTCTGTAGTTCCCCTTGCGGGTATTTCTGTTAGAGCTCAGGCAGCTTTCTGTTTGCAGTGCAGTTAGCATCAACCTCTGAGTTTGCCAGTATAGCTTTGTTCAATGTTAAAGTGTATTTATGTTGTATGAAGAGATCTTTTTTTTTTTTTCTCTTCTCTTTCTTTTCTGCTTAAATATAGGTCTTTTAGGGGTGGCGTGGTAAAGAAACCTTATTCTCCAAAGGCACTGCCCCTTAGATCCTTCTCTGGGAGCCAGAGGGACTCACCTAGAAGATGTCACTCCTTATATTGTCATAGCTCACAATATTGGACTCGACACCGATTAAGAGAACTGCGCATCAGGTGAGACTTTTCATTTGCTTTTCCTGCTTGGCCAAAATGTAGGAATAATTCTTCATTTTTCTATGCCAGTTACTTGGAGAACTCTTCTGGGTGGAATATTCTGCTAAAAAGAATATTTAGGGCCAGGCCTTATGATTTCTTGCTTTTTTTTTTTTTTTGAGACCCGGTTTCTCTGTGTAGCCCAAGCTGTCCTGGAACTCACTGTGTAGACTAGGCTGCCCTCAAACTCACAGAGATCTGCCTGCCTCTGCCTCCCGAGTGCTGGGATTAAATGCATGTGTCACTGCCGCCCAGCTTGATTTTAGTTTTATAAACTGGTCCTCTCTGTTTTCTGTTTGATGCAAGCTATGATATCTTTTGATTCAGACTGTGGTCCCTTCACTTGAAACCTTAAAGTTTCCCTGTCTTTTTTGGAAAACTTGTCAGCCAGCTGGAGTTTAATGTGTGTGCCTTTTCTCTCTCTTCAGGTGTCTGGCCAGAAAGTTTCTGTATTTGTGGATGCGGATGACTTTTGGAAGAGTTGCTCCTTCCAGAGCCAGGTACTGTTGGCTCAGACACTGCGCTGCTGCTGAGCTTCTGTCTTATTCTTTTTTTATTATTATTATTTAATATTTTTTTCACCAGGCAATGATGGCACACGTCTTTTATCCCAACACTGGGGAGGCAGAGGCAGGTGAATATTTGAGTTAGAGGCCAGACTGCTACAGAGTGAGTTCCAGGACAGCCAAGGCTACACAGAGAAAACCTGTCTCAAAAGCACCAAACACCTTTTTTAATTTTTCTAGTTAAAATATCTTTTCTCCCTTCTCCTTTTCTTTCCTCCTTAACATTACTGTCTTTATTTATTTATTTTTAAAGTCAGGGTCTTACTCTGTATTTCCAGCTGGCCTGGAACTCACTGTGTGACCAGGCTGGCCCCCAGCTCAGAGTGCTGAGAATAAAGGTGTGCACCATCACAGCCCGTACTTTATTATCATTTATTTTTATTTTATTTTTTGTGCATTGGTGTTTTGCCTGCATGTATGTCTATGGGTGTCAGATCTTGGAGTTACAGACATTTGTGAGCTACCATGTGGGAGCTGGGAATTGAACCCGGGTCCTCCTGAAGAGCTCTTAATTGCTCTTAAGCGCGGAGCCATCCCTCCAGCCCCCACTTTATTATCGTTTTTCAAGTCCATCTATAGGTTGGGTATGTGGATGTGAGTGCAGATGCCTGCAGCATTCAGAAGAGGGTACCTCCTGGAGTGGACCTACAGGCAGGAGGTTGTGAACCTCCCAGTGTGGGTTCCAGGAACGGAATTCTGGTCCTCTGCCAAAAGTAGCACCTGCTTTCAGCTGCTGAGCCGTCTCTTCCGCTCCAAGGTTTTGTTTTATAGCCTCTACGTGACTGTCATTGTGACAAGTGTGCTATGTTCCTCCTCTGTCCCCTAGTAACTCCAGCAGGCGGGAACAGCTCCTGATATAACCTTGTACTGGAATAAGAATTCCATCCATATTAGTTATCTTGATGGGGTTGTGAAGGAAACCAAAGACCCAGGAGAGCCACATGTGCTCATTCAGGGGATTGCTGAGCCTGACTGGTTGTCTTCACTGAGGGCAGAACCTTGGGAAAAGTTGGCATTGGCCAAGGAATTTCAGTGAGGAGCAAATTCCTGTGAAGTTCACTGTTCTTCATCATTCTGTATAAGTAATGTGCGGGGAACAGAGCTTTTGCTGGGGAAACCATCCCCTGTGGAGCAGACCTGTTACAACTACACTGAGAAGTCTCCTGCAGCCGCCGGAGCAGAGCTGTAACCCGTCGGTAGGGGAAGCCTTTCCCTTCAGAGCTACTCCAGTGTGTCCCTGAGGGGTCAAATCAGTTTGTGACACCGAAGAGGTGGGAAAGATAAGGGGTAGTAGTGGTATTTGGCCCAGAGCAGTTAATGAGAGGCATGGTGAGAGAGTCGGTCGTGAGTTTGACCTGGGAGAGACACAGAATCAGCACTGACCAGGCACAGTGTTATTTGGTAGCTGATATGCAATTAGGATGGCCCAGATTTGTCTCATGGTATTTGCAGGACCAATGGATAATCTTTTGGCCACTTTTACAGTAATTTTTTTTTTTTTTTTTTTTTTTTTTTTTTTTGGTCAGAGAGAAAACAGGCATAGTGGGTAAGCCGTGGTGAAGGAGAGAGGAGAGATGGATAAGGGAGTTGGGGAGTTGTAGGAGTCTGAATCTGCCTTTGACAGATAGACAGAGAAGACTTTCCTGACTCATTTGTATAGATTGTTGGTTCAGGGACGGGGTCTCTTGGATGTTAAATATCCATATGTAAGAGCTATCCTGGCCAGGCATAAATAGGAAGAAATAGAAGAGGAGGAGGCAAGTTGATTTGTGTAGTGGCAGAGGCTGTCACCAGTGACAATCAGTCATGCCCGTTTTGGCTATTAAACTGTACTGAGGTCAAGTTGTTATAGTAACAGAGTGAAGCTCTAATAAAATCTGAGTCCATGGAGGAAGAGAGGAAGGGTTGCAAAACAAATTCCTCCAGAGGGAGTTCCAGGTGGGAGCTGAGAGACTTCAGGATGGAGCTGAGAGACAGGAGGGCCGAGGTCGCAGAGGCCCCGAAGGATGAAAGGATGCTTCGAAGCTTGACAGCCCAGAGATGGGGAAGCAAGGAAACAGGGAGGTTGGTTTCAATAGAGAAAGAGGAGAGAGTTGCCATTGTAGTGGGTCCCCAGAGGGCAGAGCAGGCTCCAGGAGCCAGGAAGAGGACACCTACCAAATAGGTGAGGAGAGACAGATGGTTAGAGCAGATGGAGGGAAGAAGTGACTGAAGAGGTGGACTCTAGAATTTGGAACCAGATATGATGGGTGGCAGAAGCCAGGAGAAACAAATGATCAGTTCACACTTTAAGAGCGTCAAATCAGCAGTTGAGTCAGTTTGCAATGTTGAGACGCGGGAAAGGTGGCCATGGCTGAAAGGTAAGTGTGACATCCTCTATCAGTGCTACCAGAAGAGAGAGGACTTGGGAAGGGGGTGGCAGTTGGAGACCCTTGTGTATTAGAAAGTAGGACAGTTGGTGAGGAATGAAGACAGTAACAGGTGCCTTGACTCGAAGGCTAACAGTTTTGATTTGCGTGTTAAGTTCAGCTGCGGCCAGAGGTACATTCTTGTGTGTGACATGGAGGTGCAACTTTAATACATTATTAAACAAACATTGTTTTTATATCCTATGTTTTATAAACTGAATCTAGTGACCAAAAGCCCAGAGATAAATTCTGAGCTCTGTCCATCAAAGCAGCCATGGCAAGCTGTAAATGTCGTTTTTGTTTCCTCAGATGAGATGAGAGACAAACCCAAGTTTTACTAATACATGGCTTGGGCTAAGCCCAGATCATTTCTATCTAACTATCTTTAGGCCTAGCCAGAAAGCTTCTATCCTCCATAAAATCTAATCTTCTGCAAGCCTGGACCTTGAAGACTTTAGCTTCCAGCTGTCATCTGCTAACCCAGGCCTAGAATGTTTTCAGGCTCTGAGACTTACTGCCGAATAAGCTCAACTCAGGTGTTCTGGGTCAAACTCTTCTTCAAGCTGACTGATTCAAACTGGCTTCTCTCCACTTCTCACTGAATTGCTGTGTTTGGAAAAACTGCCTCTGGACTCCACAAATCGAACTGCACAAACTCAAGTGAACTGTACCAAACTATACTGTACTCGAAAGCTCTCCGGTGCTGTCTCCAAAGACTGCCTCCTCTTAAGTAGCTTCTCTTTCCTGTCTCTTCTCATGACAGTTGGGTGTATCCTAACTCTTGACTCATTCTGTCAAATCTTCCTCTGGCCAGGCATGGTGCCACATGCCTTTAATTTCAGAAAGCAGGAGGAATCAGTGTCGTTTAGGTATGAGTGGCTTTAGGCTGTTGTTTTGTGCTTTTCCACTTCAATTAAAGCTGGTTCTGGAGCTGGACAAGGTGGAGGCAAAGGGGCAGAACTCTGTGAGTTTGAGGCCAATGTGGTCCAGAATAGCCTCTGTTATACAGGGAAACCCTGTCTCAAAAAACCAAAACCAAACCAAACCAAGACAAAAAACCAAAAAACTTTTAATTTGTCACTTTGCCTTCCTTCAAATTAGACATCATTGTTTGGGATTAAAGGTATATACTAAATCCCAGCCAGAGGGATGAAAGGTGTGTTATGTCTGTATTCCAGCTAGAGGGATGAAGGGAGTGTATCCCAGCCAGAGAAATTAAAGGTGTATACTAAGGGAGCGTCTGTATTCCATTGAGATCACACAGACCTAGGTCTTTGGATGTGACCCCTTGCCAGAGTAGCCACGTTGCTGGATTAAAATTCCCCTACAGCAAGCAGTGTGAGCAGTGGCTACTGGCAGCTGGCAGCAGCAGAGAAAGCAAAAAGAAAACCAGTAAACACAGAACACAGAAAGCTCACATACTGAAAGACCAGTCAGAAACAAAACACACGGTGGCCACCATCATTCACATTTTTCACTGAGCCTCACCCATTTCTGTCTTAGGTTCCAAGTTCACTGCAAGACTTCTGGACACACCAGAAAACAAAGACCCAACTGCACACCCAGACAAAATTTTCCAATCTCTGACTCATTCTGTCAAATCTTTCCAAACAACCAGGACCAGGCAGGCAACATCTTGCTTTTGCCCTGGGTGGGACTGAAAGGGTTTTGTAGTTGGATGATGGGGGGGGGGGGTTATGCCTGGCTCTAGAGGGGTTTTGGGTGTTTCATATGCAGGGATGCACTTGGAAGACTGGCAAGGGACAGTGTGTGTCAGATTGTGTGATTTGGAGGAGGAGGAGAATGGTAGCAAACCTGGGGTCAGGTGGGATGGAGGGAGCAAAAAAAAAAAAAAAAAAAAAATAGAGGCTCCCACTTTGGCTAGGATGTCCCTTTCCAGCAAGAGGATGGGATAGGTCGGTACCACTCAGAAGGAGTGTGTACGGTGAAGGCCCCTACAGATACAGCTAAGGGGTTTCCTGAGGCAGGTAAGGCTGTCCCCCTACCCCAACAATAGGGAAACAAGGAGATGTGAGTTCCGAATACTGCTCCATTATGAATGAGGAGGTGACCCCAGTGTTCAGAAGAAAAGAGATAGATCACCCTGGTACTGTGGGATCTACATGGGGCTTCCTGTTGGAGATGGTAGTGGTCAGGCCAAGGGAGCCTGGGCCTTCTCGGTCATCCATGGCCAGACCTAGGAGGTCGCAAAAGGGTGATCTGGGCTTAATGTCCTCATGCCACTTGGGGCCAGTCAGCACCCCAGTGCTCTTCTTGATGGCATTTTAGACATGGTATAGATTGTTTATGAGGATTCAGACAAGCCCAGGCCCAGTGATCCTCCTTGACCTCATTTGAAACAGGGACTTTGGGAAGCCAGGGAGCCTGTTGCTATGGCCCGTTAAAAGGCCTTCATTAGCTTGTGGTGTTTTTAGGCTTTTTCATTTCTCCCATGGTACATCTTAAAAGACAGTGCTGAGACTGAGATTTCTACCTGGTAGGGGTTCTTTCTCTGCATGTTTAAGT